AATTCGTGTAGCATAATGTTTGTAGCTGTTTCATGCTGAACAGTGTCTAAAGGGACACTTATTTCCTCTGTTCTTTTTTTTTCATCAACTTCTCTCCCATGGGGGATCCTGTGGAGAGATACTGAAGAGGACTTCCCAGTTCAGTTCACTTTCGCTCTGTTGTCATCATATATAGATAAAGGATAGCTCTTAATTCATATATAGAGTATAGCTCTCCATTTCAGTTCAATAGCTGCCCACTGAATACCTACTGGGCAGGTAGCAACAGCTCAGGATACTGAGATAGTATGACAAGGTTCCTGTTCACAGGGTACCCGTTGAGTTCCAGTACTGTCTATCCCTCTTGGGGCTATTCAAGGGTTTCCCTTATTCTTTCAGACTCAAAATACTGTTTTAAAGTGAACTGTGGACAATATCATAAGTATTTATGAACTAGAAATGATTAACATTATGGATATAGGATGTGCTTAAAATATTCTGTCCAGTGAAATCTCATTAGATAGCCCTATTTTAAGTATGGTAGAACCTGTGTAAGTTGACCGCCCAAGAGACTATAACAAGCTGGTCAACATGCAGGGGTGGTCAACAGAAAGAGCGGGACCTACTGTTCTGAGACATCCATGGGGTGCATGTCTGGTCTATGAAAACTAGGTCAACTTCAGGAGGTGGTCAACTATGGAGGTTCTGCTGTATTAAAAAAAATTACACAATATATATCCCATGTACTGATTCTGACAATTTTTGACATTTGGTAATATATCATCAATTTTTAAATGGACGTGCATATATGCCGGTTCTAAAATTCTAAACTTTATTATTATACTTTCACTATGACATGTGGAATTGCAATTATTATCTTCACCTAACATACATAAGACTAAGGCACATGATATTTAAGTGATTTGCTCAGATTCATACAGTTAATCAACAAAGACACTTACATCACCCTATAAAGATATATAACTACTACATGTCCATAAAAATTAAAAATAATTATTTTTTAAAAGCTTATATTAAAATTTAGGTGTCCTAATTTTCAAAGTCTAGCTTGATTTAGTCAAGGGTGATGATAATCATAAAAACAATTCCAAGCAGTATATGATTTAGTAGGCTGAAATAATTGAAAGATTGCAGATACTCAAATGTCTAGGTTGTTAAAGGATTCCAAATCCAAACTATTTTAATAATATCATTGTATATGTATTTTAAGGCACTTTACACACTATATACTATCATTCAGTTCCCTTAATCTAAAGATGAAAGGAATCAGAAATTATTATCCACTGGCAACTTGACCTCATGCAAGTGTCTAGAGCCAGGTCTTTGGATTCCAAAGTCTGTGCTTTTGGCTTCACTCCATGAAAATGGTTTAAATATGCAAGTTTTGTGTTCATAAGTGTTGAGTAATTCAGTTTGACTTTGGTCATATTATATAGTTTCCACAAAATAGTGGGACCAGTAGAAAATTAAATTTCTTGTGTGAGGATTTTCTGAAAGTTATGAGCTCTGTCTCTGTTAGTGAGATTGATTTGGGTCAGGAGGAATCAGTTTCAACACAGAAGGTGGGTAACATGTTTTACCACAGTGTCACGGCATGAACTTAAGGTTTCCCTTCTGGCTTCCCCTTTAAAAAAATGAGAAATATGTGATATGTATTTATTATAAATACATATCTAACATATATTTTTATATACTTTTAATGTAGAGAAACAAATTAGAAAAAGTATATTAAATATATTTATATGTGATAAGTATATAGTAATAAAGCACAGCTTTGAAAAGTGGTTGGTATAGCACGAGTTCCTACAGTGAGAAGAATAAATTTTTGTCCCATTGTTTTCCTCTGGCAACTGGATAAGGCATATATATCATGTCATGCAAGAGATAAGTCTAGAATATATGTGTGTGTATATATATTTTTAATTGTGTGCTATAACCAAATGGAGTTTAGTACAATCATAATCAGACCTACTTTACTTTCATATTCAATTAATTTTTTTTTTTTTTTTTTTTTGCAGTTTTTGGCCAGGACTGGGTTTGAACCCACCACCTCCAGTATATGGGGCCAGCGCCCTACTCCTTTGAGCCACAGGCACCACCCCAATTAAAATTTTTTTTAATGCTTGTAAATACATGTCTTCCTATGAAATAAAAAATTATAGCAAAGGGACTGCAATTGTTTAGGTAATTATTATTCGAGTGTATGAAGGGTTAATTTTATAAACCATTTAGAATCATGAAAATTTAGAATTTTTCTAAATCTTATATATTTTATAACTGCTCCTTTCAAAAAGTATATAAGTAAAGTGCAGCTAATTTTAAAATACTTGACCTTTGGGATCTATCTCTTATGTGGCAAATGGGTACAATCAATTTTAAACACTGGTATCATAACCATGCTCCCTACTCTATCAAATGTGCATTATAATTTTTTTCATGTGTTTTTTATTATAGATTTAGATGCAGTTGTAAGAAACTGTGCAGAAAGATCCCATGTACTCTTCACCCAAATTATAGCTTATAAAGCTGTAAAACAGCACTACAACTAAAAAACTGGCACTGATATAGTCCACTAATCATGGATGTTTGATGTTCACCAGTCTCACATATACTCATTTGTGTGCTCACACAGATATGTGTGTTTAGTTCTAGACACTGTTATTATGTGTGTAGGTTCATGAATCTATCACCATAGTCAAGACACAAAATAGTTCCATCTTCCCAAGGACGCGGTGTTCTGTCTCTTTCGGACCACATTCGTGTCCCTCCAGGATCCTCTACCCCGCTATCCCTAACACTGGGCAACCCACATTCTATTCTCCATCTCTATAATTTTGTTATTTCACAACATTGAAATATATAAATGGATTCCATCTTTCTAGTTTTTGAATGTATCCCTCTGTGTGCTTTTCACAGTGATTGTTCTGGTTATTGTATATGTACGTGATTTATCATTGTTTACTCGTAGTGACCTTATACCATTTCAAGTGTAGAAACATTACTGCTATTAGGTCTTTTTGCCCTATCCACTTTTTACTTGTCTTAAGTACTGCTTCTATGTATGTTGAATACTATATCATTTGATGTATCTTTTGTTTTAACCATCATATAATTTAGAAAAATCAGGGGGAGAAGGGTAGTTTATTGTACTTAGCCCTATATATATTCTTTGTTCTTTCTTTCTCTTGATGCTCCAAGATTTCTTCTTTTTATCATTTTTTTGTTAGAATAACTTTAACTTTTCTTTAAGTCAAGTCTGCTAGAGATAAATGTTCTAGCGTACCTTATTCTAAGAATATATTTATTTTCTCCGATTCCTGAAGGATAGTTTTACTAGATAAGAATTCATAGTTGACAGTTCTTTTCTTGAAAAATGTATCACTCCATCTGGCATCCGTGATTTCAAATAAGAAATCTATTGTCATTTGAATTTGTGTTATCTTATAGGTAATACATAGCGTGACATTTTGTTGGTTTGCTTTCCAGGTTTTCTCTTTGTCTGTTTTTCATAAGCTTTGGACATATCATGATGTGAACTTCTGTAGATTTTTCCTGTTTGGAGTTTTCTGAGCTTCTTGGTTCTGTACATTTGTGTCTCTTGCCTTATTGGAAAGTTTGCCAGGGCTATTTCTTTAAATACTCTTTTAGTCTGGCTCTCTTCCTTCTGTAGTGGAATCTAATCGTACAAGTCTTAGGTATTTTGTTACTGTTTCCCGGGTCCCTGGGCTCTGATGTTTCCTTTCTTTTCTTTTTTTAAAAATTTATTTTCTCTCAACTGTTCAGTTTGTGTAAATTCCATTTCTCTGCCCTTAAAGTCACGGATTCCATCCTCTGTCATCGCCACTGCATGCTTTAGCCAATCCAGTGAGGTTTTATTTCAGATTTCCGGAGTGCAGAATGGTAGAGAGATTCCTCCGCTGCCCGAGCTACCTGTGCTCATTGTCTCTAGATGGAGAACAGAAGTCTCAGGCCTTATGGGGAAAGAGATCACTATTCCTGACCACTTGTTGTCAGCAAGGCTTCTACTTTATTCTGCTTGCAGGTGACCTGGTCTCTCCTGACACTGTTGGAGGGACTCTCATTTGATTTAGGTTACAGGTGATTCTGCCTAAGACATCTTCCATTGCCAGGCTGTGATGGAAGCAGCCAGGCCTAGATCATCTTTTGCTGTTGGTTGACAAGTCCTTGTCTTGTTCTTTAGATCCTGGTGTTCCTAATCAGTCCTCTTTCCTCTTTTTTCTTTTCAGATACTCTTTTAGCTGTTTCTTACTTAATTCCAGATTTCATGACTAGACTTAGCGGAGCACATAATGACGATTTAACTTTCTTTTCTGTGTGTTTTCCCCAAAATGAGTCAAGAAGGGCATAACTCAGCAATATAATAGGAGTTATTCAGTGAAAACAAGTGTTCTGTGATAGATAAAAGTTATTTGAACAAAAAAATATAGGAACATGCAGCACAGTAGCGGCCCCAACCATTCAGAGCAAATTTTAAAGTCAGAGAGCTTAGAGGTGCTTTTTGGCTGCATGTCAGCTGAGGTTCAAATGAAGTTCAAGTGTCTGTCCTGCAGAGAGCTTTTAATTCGCTAGTATTCTTTGTAGGTATCTGGAGAGGTCTGCAGCATTTGTAGCTTATCCAGCTACAAAAGTAAACCCATTTTGTTTATAGTTTTTCTTGGTACTGGCCTTCCCTGAAACGACTTTGCAGAAGAAAGCTGTTTTTATCACTATCAACATCTACCTCAGCCAAAGTATTGCACTAGATGTAATCATTTAATTAAAAAAGTTATTTCTGAGAACATTAAGGAGTAGCACCTAATTATACTTTGATTTTTAAAAATCTGATAAAATATTGCAGTGTATGTAAACTTTCGTTTGAACTGTTCGATGGATGTATGACCAAAGAAAATATGTATTGGATTCTGTTAAAAACAGGTAGTCTAAAAGTACTGATTGTTTCTGATGTTGCTATTCACATTTTCATTACTTTCTTTTTCCAGCTTTGAGGGACAATAGGATCGAGCTGGTCCGTGCTTCCTGGCACGAATTGAGTATCAGCGTCAGTGATGTGTCTCTGTCTGATGAAGGACAGTACACCTGTTCTTTATTTACCATGCCTGTCAAAACTTCCAAGGCCTATCTCACAGTCCTGGGTAAGTGCAACGAGCTAACATCCTGTAATCACAAAACCAAAGAGATGCATACTGCCACAGCAACACTAAGTCAACCACAATTATACATTGTTATATATATATAATCCTATTTCTGCTACATGATAACAAAAGACATTATATGATCATTTAGTCATTTTCAATATTTTATAAAAGGACAGGCCAAGGTACAAAGAAGACTTCCAGAAGGCACCCAGACGTTTTCTTGCTCAGCCAGAGATATGCACCTCCGTTCTTAACTGTTTTGCATTGAATCATCTATATATTAAGTATGTTCTGATCCTTTTCTAAAGTGACAGAAAAAGAGCATAATGAGTTCCACTTGTGTACCATAGCGTTCTCCTCTGTTTTATCATGTTAGTCACCTGACAGGGGCCTTTCCCACTAATTTGAAGCTTTCAAATATGACCCCTTTGTGTGTTTTAGTGCATCTAAATGACCCTGACATTTCCACGTGTCCTCTCTCCTTTAAATTTATATTTTCTAGCTTCGAAATGCAGTACATAATGTCACTTGTGCGTGTAGCTTGTAACTTCTTTGTGCTTTTATTCTCCAAGTATTGGGCCATTTTCCCAAAGGTTAAAGTGACACAAAAAAGCAATACATTCATAGAGATTCTGAGGAAATAAAGTTGCAGCTCAGAGCTCTCTGAGATTCCACAGACGTCAGTGCCCCAATCAGCTGAAATTGCTGCAGTTCATTGAAACACACCTGTATACTGAACAAGTTAGAGGAATTTAAAGATTGATTTTTTCCCCTAGCTTGCCTTGCTTTTTAGATAGATAAAGGCACGCGGTGCATTTAAAAGGGCTAACCCACGCTGTTCTTTTGGGTGGGAATATTAAAGTTAATCCAGGTGGTGAATTGCTTTTGTGCATAGGATATGAAATATGTTTCTTTGCCAGTCTCACTGGGACAATTTTATAAAAATCTTCACCAGTTTGCTATTAAGGACAAAATATAACCACAAAAATGGAGTATTTCAGGATAACCACTGGCTAAGGGGAATGTATTGTTCTGCAGAACATGAACTTGAGATTTAAAGAAGAGATGACTGCTGAATTCAGTTTATTAAATGGTGACATGACAGATTTTTTGAAAAAGAAAAAAGGCAACATAAAGTAAAGACAAAAAAACAACAACAAACAATAACAACAAAAAGCTAGCCAGTTACTGAAAGGATGTGTATTTGTTTCTCTGTGACTTAACTCACCAATGTACTAATTAGCCATCTTAGTTATCTGTTTATTCATGATGATTTAGACTAGAAAAGGTCATAGTGGTTAGCATTAAAAATATACATATAATGTGTCACAAAAATACAATTGTATGTCTGACACGAACAATATCAAGAGACATTTCTAAATGACAGGAATCAGAAAAGTCAGGATACTTGTCATTATTGATGAATCTCTATTCCAAAATTCATTTTCTTAAACAAAGTAAACAGAGAATAATAATAATATCCTTTTTAAGCATTAAGAATTATGAAATCAGGAAAGGAAGGTGCTGAAGTTATATCATAATTTAATCAATAGAGAGAAATGTGTTTTAGGAATTTTTTTCTTCAATGCAATCTGCCTTCTTAAATCCTTACACCACTAAATTTTAAGAAATACTGAATGGTTGGTATTCAGAGTATTTTTGCAATTTAATCTTAAAAACTACTTTGACTTACATGCATTTTAAATGTTTTCTGACTACTGTAGGTGGACATGTGCACATGTGTGCATAATATATGCACATATGTATGTATGCACACAGACACGTGATGCATATTGTATGCTAGTTATTCTCAGTTAAACTTATTGTTCATTAACCACTCAGTTTAATTTCATATGTGAAAGTAACCGTCATGAGAACAAATCAGCCGTAAAGGTTGATACTCACTTCATTCATTTGCTTAAATTTCAGGTGTTCCTGAGAAGCCTCAAATTAGTGGATTTTCATCACCAGTTATGGAGGGAGACTTGATGCAGCTGACTTGTAAAACGTCTGGTAGCAAACCTGCAGCTGATATAAGGTGGTTCAAAAATGACAAAGAGATCAAAGGTAAAGTGTAGAAGACGTTCCCCAGATTACAAGTCATGTGCTGAAACCAGCATGATGGTTAGGAAAAAGGCATTTTACACATTTTTTCAAACCACGCGATTGCTTTTTGATTAAGTGGAATGTGAACCAGATTTAGCTGTTTCTTGGTAGGTGATTTTACAAAGTGTTTGAATGTAATCTTGGTGTGCGTCATTTCCCTCTTAGGTGAAACCAGCATAAAGATAGTATGGACCTCATGGGACAGTTGGGGGGAGAAATAAGCTGATATAGGAAACAAGGCATAGGCGAATGCTTCACAGTAGTAAGCACCGTGCGTTAGATACTAATTTCAGAACTCTCCTGCAGCGTATAGGTTAGAGACAGGAAAATTGCATGAATTAATTTCTTCAACTTCTTGGTTTCTTGGACTAACACATTCTTGAGAATATAAATAGCCAAACATCAATTTATTTGATTGCTAATAATTTTCACAGAAGGAAAAAAGTACACTTGCCTCAGTGAAAATGCATATTAATTTAAATACTTCACATGCCTAAATTTTTTCTCTCTCTCTCACACACACATTCCTGAACATCTTCACACACTCACACATGCTTTCCTTTAAAGTAAAAATGAGCTTATGTGGGAATAGCTTGTATGATGATTGGATTTTCTTTAACCCCTTATACAGATGTCTTGGACCTGATATCACATATACATTAATATTCATGTATGAGAATTATTTATGTTAATTTGTAAATCATGTTTCCTGTGAGATAGTAATATGCATTCTTCTCCACGTTATTTTCTAGGAGACAAGTATGAAAACAATTCCGATTATTTTAACTTGTAATATGTGTACTACAACCACAAGTTCAGGAGATAGGGTTGCCTATACTGCTAAGAGATTACAAGATTATAATCCGTACAATTATTTTATCTCTTTTCTATTTTAATTACTCTATTTCTGTATATTTTCCCCCAAAAGGCGTTATCTATAATTTAAGCCTAATCACTGTCTTTTCCTTAGAGCAGGGGTTCTCACACTTTTTAAACAGGGGGCCAGTTCACTGTCCCTCAGACCATTGGAGAGCCGGACTGCGGACCCCGGGATGAGTCGGCTACTAAGCAGGACAGGCAGTGACAGCAAAAACATCTGGTGGGCCAGATAAATGTCCTCAGAGGCCACATGTGCCCGTGGGCAGTAGTTTGAGGATGCCTGCCTTAGAGCTTCTAATGCATATATTTTATTGGATCGAGTTTTGTGAAATACGTGTCTCAAGACATAAAGGTGGACATTTTACTATGTGAAATTAAACTTTCAATCTACTATGTAACCTGATTCTAGGTTCTGTCAAAGCTTCATGACCTCCTTTCCCTTCTGTTACTAGGATGTGTTTGTTAGGCAATTCTGGGCCTGGTTGGCCTCTGCTTAGGGGACGCTCCACACTGTTTGCAAAGTTATATTGGTATGACAAGAAATCTCAACCAGGAATGTTTCTGCTTAGGCACTTCTGATAGAAATCCTTGAGCTTAGAATAAGATTAAATTATGCTTTGGGTAGTCTGTCTGAATTCTCTAGGCAGTGTATTATATATCGCATATGTCGTTCTGAGTAGAAGGTCTTGGCAGTGAATGATTATGTATCGTGTATGTCCTTTTGCGTGAAGGTCTTGGTTTATGACAGGTTGTTCTTCTCAAATACTCTTCTTCAATGAATTACATTATTAACATGTTTCTCTTCCTTCTGACAAACTTACTTACTTAGTTAGTTAGTTGTCAAATTTATTAGTATTTTATTTGTGCTGCAAGTATTTATCTCTCTGATAGCTTCAGGGAGTACACAGACTCTAACATATGTAGTCTTAACTACTTCATTAACACTGATGGATTGCTTTTAACACTGCATCTTCACAAGAAACCCATGGTGTTCTCAAACTTTGTACATAAGAACGTAATTTTTGACTAATTTGGCCTGTTGCTATGAATGCCAAACAGATACAATCAAGTATTAGTGAGAGGGGAGGAAGATTTTTTTTCATATGTAGAAACATGAGTTTAATCTTGCACACAACTGTATTTTAAAATCCCCTGAATCAATACAGAATCAGCACATGGTTCTTTCCTGTACAGAGATATTGTGAAGCTTCCTTTTTCCCCCATAGTCTTTGATGCATAGCCATTTAAAGAGCATTTATTGTTTGTAAACTTGCACTCATGTATGTCGTGACTTAAGCCAGATGTCACAACCACATAAATGATCACGCGAGACACAGATTGACAGTACACGCTGCAAGAGGTGAGGCTAACCATAGGTGCAGGGTAGCCCCGAGCACTTCTCACAGAGTCCTTTTATTGACAAGATACCTAATGGGTGGAAACATTACTAAGCATAGACACGCAGGGGCTGCGTGCTCGGGGAAATGATCTCCTAGGTGCCAAGTGAGTATGGACTCAAGGAAATGATCTTCAAGGGTGGTAAGGAAAATGATCTCCTAGGTGCCAAGTGAGTATGGACTCAAGGAAATGATCTTCAAGGGTGGTAAGGGAAATGGTCTTCAAAATACTACATGCAGTTTTTCTCCACTAATCCTTCAAGGAACTGCCATAAAATGCTTGATGTTTAACATCAGCCTTATTACTGCAGGACTGAACTTTGCTCCTCCAGGATTACTGAGTTACTTGGTGGCTCGCCTTCCAAGTCACAAGAGATTTCCAGGCTTGCCAGGAGAATGTCTTGTTCTCAGTAATTCCTCAGATGAGTTATGATGTTGGTGGCTGTGGTAGTAAGTGTGATGTTTAATCCTCTATACATGTATTTATAGCCCTTTTGTTTATGAGAGTCTTGGATATTTATATAGTTTATCTCCCTAACTATAGGAAGGTGGCAGGCTTCCTGAGTGTGTAAAGCTTATTTTTATAAGTGTATATGTAAATACAGTTACATAAATATTATGAACAGAGTGAGCATTCATTATGGTCGCTGTCCTCTGGATATGCTAAGTGAAATTTCCTCTACAGTTCCATGGCAGGCACTCCTCACTGAAAGGTGCTCTCTGGCTTATCTTGTACTGTCATTTCAGTGATGAAAATTTGACTTGCCATTACCATTTAACTGTTTTTACTATAATATCACTTGACACCTTTTAAAAAGACAATCCCTTGTGAAAAGCAAATGGAATAGATAGGCTAATCAAATCCAATTAAATTAAATTCAATACAAAAGTGTTAAAATTCTTTCCAATTTCACAGTATTCTTTGGTGCATGAGTAAAGATCCCAATGAAGAAACCCAGAACCTTGACCTTGAGATGTGTAAGATGTCTTTGGGCTTATGAAACAAGTTATGAAGCACACTTTCCTGTAAAGAGAAGTGTCCCTACAAATATTTATCTTTCCTCTGTCATTACCTACCATATTAATTGTATTTCCGAGTTACTGGATAAACATTACTTGAAAGTTAGCAGTTGATCACATTTTCTTGGCTGGGCTATGTTAATCCTGAATTATAGAACAGTGTTCCCAAACTGTAGCAGGCAACATGAGCATGCAGAATGCTTAGCAAGTCTCACATTTAGAGCCTTAATCCCGATTAGGTCTGAGCTGAATAGAGCTAGGGTGGAGCCTGAAACTGTATTGTATTAAATGTCAAGTGATGTTGATGTTTCTGTTTGGGGACCACAATGACATAAAGAATATAAAATGTAGAACATTAGTGATCTTTGTAGAAATCCTGCTTCTGTCTCTGATCTTTAATTTTCTCATTAGCTAAATAAAGATAATAATGCTTGCCTCAAAGTATTATTTCAAGAATTCCGTATAAAATAATAAGCATGAAGTGTTTTTAGAGTCTAAGAAATTACTGAATGCATTTTAGATATGTCGTAGAGTAACTATCATTATTTTTACTATATTCAGAAAACTGTATTGATGAGTTCCACCAATCCCTGAATTCATCCTAGAAATATAAATAAATAATACAAACATATTCCTGTAAGGCATTCACATTTGGGGGATGGACATTAAAAACATGAGATTTAACAAGTATGAACTGGCTGCAGTTTTGTGCAAAGCAAGCAGACATCAGCCCTACTCTTGGGAGAGGTGAAGCCTCAGCAGTTCATCTGATGAATGCAACGTGTAGTCAATATCTGTTTATGGAGTGGGTGTGGCTTAAAAATAGAAGGACTTTCTGAAGGAAAACACTTCATGTATCTAAGCAGAATAACAACATGTATTTGAAATAAGTACTAAACTTTATGTGTGATGTAGGAATGACAATTAAATATGGAGTCTGGGTTCAGATATGTCATAGAAGATCTTTTATTCCAGATTAAGGGGTCTGAAATTTATACTTTAGGCAATGGTGAGCCATTTTTTCCCCCAAGCAGCTTTAAGCAATGGAATGAAACAATTATAATTTCATTCAACTGTATTTTATTTTGTTTTGTCTTGTTTTTTTTGTTCTGTGCATCTTATTCAGAAATCCCTTTGGTGCCTCTGGCCGGCTCTGCTTCTGAAACCACATGTGGTTTGGGGGCAGCCTTTAATCTTCTGCATAGCTAGGAAGTCTGCCATTTAGTGCGAGAGAAGATGTGTGTTGCCTTCCTAAATCCATCAGCTCTCTGAGAGCTTATACTACCTTAAATTTTCCATTCTATGTCTAAGTATAGTTATTTTCAGTGTGAACATTTCTTTTTATAAAATCTTGAGATTTTATTTTGCAGTTAATTTGCTTTTACATTAATGTTAGGAAGAATTCCCTAATAACCCGCAATGACACCTATTCTTATATAACGTCTTCTCTTTGAATGTAGAAATTGTGAATATGATAGGATGTAACTGCCTTGAATATGTTACCTTATATTGCAAAAAGGATTTTGCAGGTATAACAGTGATGAACTTTTGAGTTCATTAAAGGAATATTATCAAAAGTGGCCTTGATAGAATGAAGTGAAGTCTTTATAAAAGGAGAATAAATCAGAGAGGCATTCTTTTACTGGTCTGGAAGAAAACAAACCA